CGGGAGCGGCGGCGGCGGCTGGGGGCGGCGGCGGCGCGCTGGAAGCGGCCATGGCAAAACAGTACGACTCAGTGGAGTGCCCTTTTTGTGATGAGGTGACCAAATATGAGAAGCTTGCTAAGATCGGCCAAGGCACCTTTGGGTAAGGCTGGGCCCCGAGGGACCCGGTACCCTGGGCCTGCACCCCTCAGGGCCGACGTCGGGACGCCCGGGGCCGGGTCGGAGATGGTCGGGGAACCACCCAGCCCTAGATTTGTCCTCTGGTCTCTCTGGGCCGCGCCGCAGCGCGTCCGGGTCTGACGGAGCTGACTGGCTGGGAGGAGCCTGAGGCCCGTGGTGGGGGACAGGGAGGGGTTGCAGAGAGGAGCTTGTGAGGGGAGCAGGATCTCTCAGAGAGATGCCTGGGTGAGGAGAAGAGACGGAAGGGAGGAGGTAGAGGCTCGGAGAGGGACTGCAGATAGGGGATGGTAGGGTAGCCGAGTGCCCTAGGTACCAGGCCCAGCCCCGCCCGAGAATCCCCTTGCTGGCGTCTTCCTCTGGTGGGGGAGGGGCGAGCCATATGAAAACGGCCTGATGAGCCCTTTTGCGTTCCCCTCTTGGCCTACAGGGAGGTGTTTAAGGCAAAGCACCGCTTGACCGGCCAAAAGGTGGCTCTGAAGAAGGTACTGATGGAGAACGAGAAGGAAGGGGTGAGTACGGGTGGGGTGGGCAGGCCAGCCGTCTCCTCTTTGCACGTGGGTTTCTACCGCGCTTCTAGGACTCACACGTCGAGATTCAATTTATGTATCGTAGCTCGGGAATTTCCATAGTACAGGGAAACTGACTTCCAAATGAAGTCTTTTCGTTGAAATGTTTTAAAGCATTTGATATTTCATTCGTAGGCAAATACGGTTGGGCCAGGAGGGGGAGCTCATGCTTGCATTGCGTGCACCTCTGTTTGTGAAATTAGATAGACTTTAAACACTTTTTCTTTAGCGTTTAATTTTGTTTGATGTAAAAGAAAAATACATGCAGTGGCTTTAAAAGGGTGACTAGTACTCAACTGAAAAGGAGCAGTCCCCTCCCCCACCTCATCTTTGCTTTAGTCCAGCTTCCAGAGACCTACTTCTTCACATGATTTTTCAATAGTTATATGTGTTTTTATTAGCACCCAGCAGGTTAAACACAGGCATGGAGCTAAAATTTAAAGGTTGAAGAAGCTCTGGAGCATTTAGTGACCAATAGTGAAGGGATTAAGTATCGCTACATCAATTTATCGTCTCTAACTTCTTGAGGGGTACATAGTACTTTACACCCATTTTACGGATAAGGCATCTGAGATAGCTGATTTCAGAGTCTGTGATCTTACTGTCTCTTAACCCATACTGCTTAGTACAGACCCCGTGGCCAGCCAGTTCCTTGATCTGTAATGTACTTACTTTCAACCCCACCGTCTGTCTTTCTCTCACGCAGTTCCCTATTACAGCCTTGCGGGAGATCAAGATCCTCCAGCTTCTAAAACATGAGAATGTGGTCAACTTGATTGAGATCTGTCGAACCAAAGGTAAGGTTTTGGATCTTGTTTCCATTTTCAAATGGAGAAAATAAGGCTTATGACTTGAGGCTTTGTTTGCAAAGTTGGAACCAGACACACTTAAACTGCTTTTTAACACAGACATGCTTACCAGCTATGATTGCTTTCTCTGGTCCTTTCATCATAGCTGGTGTTTTTCTAGGGCCTGCCACGGCACCCGTCCCAGAGGAGGCACTCAGGAAATATTTTACCAGTGAAGGAACGCACAGATGGATGCCGGGTGTCCATGAGTTGGGCGTAGGCGCTGTTTTTGGGAAAATAAGTTGCATATGGGATTTTTGACTTCTTCTTTTTGCCCCCCTTTCCCCATTCTTCCCACCTCAGCTTCCCCCTATAACCGCTGCAAAGGCAGTATATACCTGGTGTTTGACTTCTGCGAGCATGACCTTGCTGGACTGCTGAGCAACGTCTTAGTCAAGTTCACACTGTCTGAGATCAAGAGGGTCATGCAGATGTTGCTCAATGGTCTCTACTACATCCACAGGAACAAGGTGGGGAAGGAGAGACCAAGGCTTGGTCTGGCCTCTACTCCCACTGCTGGAGGGGTGTGTGTGGCTAAAGGAGACCTCACTCTTGCCCTTCTTGCAGATCCTGCACAGGGACATGAAGGCAGCTAACGTGCTCATCACCCGAGATGGGGTCCTGAAGCTGGCAGACTTTGGGCTGGCCCGGGCCTTCAGTCTGGCCAAGAACAGTCAGCCCAACCGCTATACCAACCGTGTGGTGACGCTTTGGTACCGGCCCCCGGAGCTCTTGCTCGGTGAGGACTTCCGAGTGGGCAGAAGGGGGCAGGGGCCGGGCGCTTAACCGGGCCTCAGCCGCCCACTGCCTGGGCTTCCTGAGCCGCCAGCCTCAGGGCATTGCGTCTCAGGAGGCCCTCGGGCTCAAGGGGCCCTCCTGGTGCGCTCTTCTTCCCAGGGGAGCGGGACTACGGCCCCCCCATTGACCTGTGGGGTGCCGGGTGCATCATGGCGGAGATGTGGACCCGCAGCCCTATCATGCAGGGCAACACGGAGCAGCACCAGCTTGCCCTCATCAGCCAGCTCTGTGGCTCCATCACCCCTGAGGTACGTGGCCAGGCTACCTGGGCCCTTGGTCCCTACAGGATGCAGAGACCCACCAGGCTCCCTGGCAGGGGTGGAGTGGGGAGTGGAACAGAAGGAAAGCTCTCTCTGGAGAGGTGGCTGCTGGAGGGACAGGGCTTGCTCTTTAGGGCACACAGGCTGTGTTGGTTCCATCACCAGTCCGTTCTGTGGCCTTGGGCCGAGCATTTGGACTTCGCACCTCAGAGCTGAGTTTCTCTTCTGTGAAACAGCTATGGCTCTGTCAGCTTTGGTGCACATATTCCAGCCAGTTTACATGAAAGGGCCAAGTGCATGGTCACTGCTGCCTTCACCTCGGAGGGGTCAAGTTTGTCCTCCAGGGTTGGTCTGGGAACATTTGAACGGAGAAGTTTCAGTCCCTTCAGGTGCTTGACCAACGGATAAGCCACACGCCCCCCGAACTAACTCTTATCCTCTCTCCATGCCCCCACCCGCAGGTGTGGCCAAATGTGGACAAGTATGAGCTGTTTGAGAAGCTGGAGCTGGTCAAGGGCCAGAAGCGGAAGGTGAAGGACAGGCTGAAGGCCTACGTGCGGGACCCATATGCGCTGGACCTCATCGACAAGCTGCTGGTACTGGACCCCGCACAGCGCATCGACAGCGACGACGCCCTCAACCACGACTTCTTCTGGTCTGACCCCATGCCGTCGGACCTCAGGGGCATGCTGTCCACCCACCTGACATCCATGTTCGAGTACCTGGCGCCGCCACGCCGGAAGGGCAGCCAGATCACCCAACAGTCCACCAACCAGAGTCGAAACCCCACCACTACCAACCAGACGGAGTTTGAGCGCGTCTTCTGAGGGCCAGCTGCTGTCACTCTGCTTTAAGGCTCTTGTTTTATTTTTCTTTTCTGCTATGGGACTCACATTGTGGAGATGAAGGGGCATTTGAGTTTTTTCTCTAGTGCATATTTTATTTAATCCCCACTCTGGGCCTTGGGAATACCAGCTGGATGGACTGGAATAAAGCTTTGGCTGAGAGTCCAGGAGGGCACTGGGGCTGCCTCACCTGGTTCCCTGGTTTTCTGGATAATACCCAGAGGGTCTGCATTTACCTTAGGACAAGAATGAGGTGGGAGGAGAGGTGCACCCCACCACTGACTTTCTAAGAGTTCGACTGGAGGAGGGAACAGGTCCCTCGTCCATCCCCAGCCTTCCTCTTGGGATGAGAAACTCACGTGGGGGACAACCAGCCTTGGAAATGGGCTGCTCTTGGCCTGACCCTCAGAAGCACTGGAGCTGGCAATAACTTGGTTTCTTCAGTAGGAGAATTTTATCGTGTTTCTGATATTCGGTTGTTGAGAGACATTCTGGACACAGTTTGGCCAGTTAACAATTAAAGTTGACTCTTTTTCAGTAAACGGCTTTGTGCTCTATTCTGTATTCAGATTCTCAGCTCTTACCCTGCAGCCAACAGGTTGGGCCTTCCTGTTGAAGTTGTTTTGATTTGTCAAATCTTCAATTTTTTGTCTCAGTTTATGTCCCCTGACATAACTGTATAGGACTTTTGTCTTTTTTTTCCTCAGATACCTACCAGAACACTTGGCATCACGCTCCCCTTCAAGGGCAGGCACCATGAAGTTCCCTTGCCCCTCTCCACTCAGTGTCAGAGGAAGAGGGAAAACATCAAAGGATCTCAGTTCCCTTTTCTCCATGTCTGCAGTGGTGACCCAAGTGGGGACAGTCTGCTGTAGATGACAGACGTGTTCAAATTTGACTCGTGAGCACGGGAGGCTGCGGAAGGCTCTCAATGGAATGACAACAGATCTGTAGCTTACGCAGGTCCTGGTTGCTGAGTAGAGGGCGGCTTGGAGCCAAGCGAGGAGTTGGAGGATGTCAGGGGCTTGGGGAGGTGGCAGTAGTTTGGATTAAAGTGATGAGGGGGCAAGAGGACAAGTTAGTGTATGGTTGGATCTTAAGGGCTCAGAGCTGGGACCCTTGGAGGAATAGGACGTCCTGAGTAAAGCTGGAGACAGACATATTTGAGGTAAATTTTACGTTCCGTCACAGATGGAGTCCGCTGGGAGGGCTCCAGGAACGGGGGAAGGTAGGCAAAACCTTTGACCAGAACTATCCCTGTGAGAGTTGACCCAGATCACAGCTTTACAAAATGCTAGTGCAAATTAAAAAATTCTTAGAGTATTAGTTTCTCGGGGCTGCTGTAACCAATTACCACGAGCATGATGGCTTAAGTTAACGACTCTTGGTTCTGGGGGCTAGAAGCCCAAAAGCCAGGTGTGGGCAGGGTTGGCCCTGGACACTCAGAGAGAGTCTGCTACATGCCTCTCGTAGCTTCCAGCAGCTGCCTGCGGTCCCTGTGTCCTTGGCTTGTAGATGTATCACTCCACCCCGTCTTCACGTGGTGTTCTTACCCTCTGTGCCTCTGTCTCTTATGAAGACACCAGTCATTAGATTTAGGATTCACCTTGATCCATTATAACTTTATCTTAACCAATTCTCTCTACAAAGATCTTTTCAAATAAGGTCACATTTCAAGGTTCCAGGTGGTCATGAACTACTCAATACAACTAATAATCAAAGAAATCCAAAAACAGCAAGGTGTCCTATGGTGATCAAGTCGATAGGTTTTGAATGACATGATTGATGTGGGATAACTCACACGGCTGGTTCCATTGTTCAAAGTTATGAGTTTTTTTTCTCTGAAGGATAAAAAGTTTCTATAAAAAGTTGGTATTAAAATACCAGCAATTCCAGAAATTTCTTGTTAGCGATTGTACAGTCTATTACCTCATGGAGCCCTCACTGGAAGATGGGAGAAGGGAGATGTGGCCCACTGGGGTACTCCAAAGAGGCCAGAGGGAGAGTGGGTTCCAGAAGCTCAGGGACAGTGTTTTGGGGAGGATGGAGTGGTCACTTACACGAGTTCTGCTGATGGGTCCAAAAGATAGGAGTGAGGACTGACCATGGGTTTAACCACGTAGAGGTTAGTGGTGACCTTGGCAAGAGCCACTGGGTAGAGCTCTTCTGTTGAAACCCCGCCAGGAGCAGCAGAACCACTGAGAATGGGAAGAAGGGAACCAAGGCCAAGAAATAGCATCTACCACGGAGAAGGATTTGGTTTCAAGCTAGTCTTGTATAGTCTTAAGATTTGAGAGCCATGACTTTACGGAATGACTCAGTAGAGAGGGCGCAGTCTGGATGGGGCACCTGTAACAAGCTGACGGGCAATGCCCACGCTGCTGGTTGGGATCTGAGCAGTGCAGATAGGGGAGGGCTCTAGGATAGGATGCTGGACAATGAAAAAGGTCATAGAAGTGTATGTACTGCCCCAAAAAGACGTTCCAAAGACAACAGGTGGGAAATATCTACTGCTTGAGCTTGTTTTATAAGAAAAACCCATGGTTATTTGGAGTGGTCTGTCCTTTATACTTCTCTGTGTTTTCTAATATTTCTTAATATTTTTATTCGTGCAATTACATCATATTTTAAAACAAACTAAAGCAGGCCCTAAACCCTGGAGCTTCTAGCTCTGATCTTCCCCGACCCCACCTCCCCAAAGAACACCCCAGAGGGAAGGCCAGGACTAGTGGCAGATGTGGGTCTGTCCAACCCTGATGTGACAGAGGTCTCATCCCAGTCTGTGGAGGATGGTGCCTGACGTGGAATAAAAGCTCCCAGAGGGCAAGAACTGTAGGGGCATGAACCCTGAGGCACCTGAGTGGTGTCCGGCACCTGTGAATCCCCCAAATACTGGAACGAGTCAGCCAGCTCTGAGCAGAGGACAGAAGAGGTGGGTAAACAGGAGAGGTTTCTACCCACCTGTGTGAATGGGCTCATGGGCTCTGCAGCCCGGGTAAGTCTGAGTCCTGATTTCTATCCCCAGGGGTCCCAGCATGGCAGAGGAAAGGCAAACGGGGCCCTAACAGTTAGGGGAGGTGGGCAGGTGAGCTGTGATAAGAGAGACCTGATAAAGCCAGCCCCAAGGGCTGGAAGCCTCCCAGCGCTGCTCCCCCCACACCCCTGCCGGCCTGCTCTCCTTTAACCTCTGCTCAGTTGTTAAATATTTAACTCAGAGTCTGACTAGTCCCGTGTGCACTCTGGAAACCTCCCGGGAAGACAGGAGGTCCCTGGGCAGATCCCAGGGTGAGAGCAGGAACCTGTCAGTGAGATCTTCCTCCCAGCACACTGGAGGAGGGTGGAGGGCCTGGGCGGCAGGGCAGGAGAAGGTGAGGTCTTAGGTATCCTCTCAACGCCCCCTCCCATCTCTAGCCCAGCTGGAGCGCAGAGTGGGCTTGGCTGGGCAGAAGTACCCACATCTGTGATCACTTCGTGCCCCTCCTGGTTGAGGAGCAGGAAGCCCAGGGATAAAAGTCGCCAGGTCCCTGGCCACCTCCAGGTCCGGGGCTGAGAGGCTCTGGTGAGAAGCAACAAATATGGAGCGACCTGGCCCACCTAGGAGGCCTTTCTCAGCTAAATCTGCCTGCTTCCAGGTAGGAGAACAAGGTGGCCTTGGACAGGTGGCCTACCTCTCTACGTCTCAGTTCTTTCTTTTGTACAAATGGGTGTAAATATCCATCCCTCGGGGGTCCGAAGCTGTCAGCAATGATACTAACCCCACACTTTGCAGAACCCCAAGGGAAAAAACCTCGTCTTTGATAAGCCTTGTTCTAAAGGTCTAGGATGGTCTAGGGCCCTGAGGACTTCGCAGCTCTACCTTCCATCCAGCTGGAGTCTCCACGGAAGCCCCCAGCCAACATGGGCGTGGGGAGGCTCTTGAGAAGAGTCTCTAGAGCAGAACCGATGGCAGGCGTGGGTGGCGGCAGAGGCTACCTCAAGGGTCTTCCTGTGTGCCAGTCCTGTTCACATGATCAGTAGACTATAGGTTTTATCTGATTTAACTCGGGACTGCTTGATAAGGGAGGACCGTTAGTCTCATTTTAATAATGATAATGGCAACATTGATCAAGTGCTTACCGCTTGCTGGGCCCTGTGCCCACTGTTATCTGCATTTTACAGATCCGAGACCATTAGACCATTATCTGCATTTTATAGATCTGGTAGGTGCAGTTAAGAGCAGTTAGGGATTTAGACCCATAAAGATTTCTGACCTTGTCTCATGGGTGGAGCCCTCGTTCTGTGATCTGGGCCCAGCACCCTCTCATCCAGCCTCTTCCAGCCTTCTGAGGTGGGCACAGCTGTCATCCCAGCTTTACAGATGAGGCGACAAGGCTCAGCCAGGTGAGAAGACTCACCAAGGAGGCTGGCAGCAGACACCTTCCAGCCTGGCTCAGGCAGAGACTGACTGGAGTTGGGGACGGGAACCGGGCCAGGCCGCAAGGGGAAGAGCAGGAATCTAGGCTCACATGCTGACAGTCACTAGACAAGTCGCTCAGCCTCCCCAAGCTTCGGTTTCGTCCTCTATTGAATGGGCGCCAAGAGAAGTTTCATCCCTTCCTCCCTCTCGGGACTGCAGTCTGAGGCCCAGGAGAGGCAGCAGCAGCTGGGCCAGTGTCCCCCGGGGCAGCATGCCTGGCCGGGCCATGCCTCTCTAGGCCCTCTGGACAGATGAAACCTTCTGGCCGGCAGCAGAGAAGGGGCGGCCCCAGATGCCAGGGCTTGGGGGCAGTGGCTCCTTTGAAGTCACCTGGGCCCCCTCACTTTAGAAGCCAGGACCCTAGAGAGATGAGATGACTTGCCCAGGGTCACGTGGTGTGAATCTCCTCACTAGGGCAGCCCCTCAAGCCGGGCCTCTCCCGGCTTCAGGGCCTCTCTTTGAAGAGCCAGCTCAAGGCCAGAACTTTGTCAACCTGGGACCAGATGACCCCGTCACCTTGCCAGCACAGGGCAGGTGGGGGTGGGGTCCAGGGGTGGCCTGGGGGTGGAGTCAGGGGCCCAGTATTCCTGTGAGTGACTAAGTTACTTACTCTGTTAGGCTTTTGTTGCCTCCTGTGAGAAATGGGTCCCAGAACAGAAGCTTCCTCACAGGGTGGGTGAGCATCCAGTGAGACAGGTGGCGCGAAGGTCTCTGCACAGTGCTGACGTCTAGGGATAACTCACGTTAACTGTGATTTAAGAAAATCCAAGTTACAAATGAAAAAAATTAGCTTAGTCAGAGGGACTAAATCAGTAGTCACCGGCATCAGACGGAGCTGAGACTGAGCTGCATCCTCGGTCTGCCATTTGCTAGCCGGTGACGTGCACAGGTGATTCCTCTCCTCAGGTCCTCAGTTTCCTCACCTGTAAAATCAGCTCAGCACAGCACGTGGCAAGGACAACTCCCGGGAGCAGGTGCCACAGACAATGGTGGTCACAGAGTGAAATAACAAGCTCAAGGAGCATTCAGGCCCCTGAAGGAGGAGGCAGGCCAGAAGTCAGCCTTTATGTGGCCTGGCTCACTACG